CTTCTGACTAATCACATATACATGGTTAATCATGTGGGATTGTTAAACCCCAATGTAACTTTGAGCTGGCTTGCTTGCTGATTGATTGATTGATTGATTGACAGATTGCCCTCATCTGTACAGACTCTGAATAATGAACCACAATTCAATTTACAGTATCATTAAACTAATCAATAATATTAACAATAAGAAACTGCCTGTGATGGTTGCCTGAACACCACTAAACATCAAAAGCCCAATGGTATTTAATATAGTAATAAATTGTACTGAAGTCAGTGAAATGCACTTTTGAATAAATATGTATAGATTTGAACTGACTTATCTTTTTCATTCTCATAGTACAAAAACAAGTTCTGTGAAGATCAGCTGGATATTTTTTAAAGTCCTCCAGAAATAACCTTGCCAACAATATTGCAAATTTGGCTGTTTTTCTTTTATCCTTTTTTCAGTTATAAAAATTGAAAAAGTTCTTGTAGAACACAGTTGGAGAAACAGTTTGAAAGCTTTTTCTCAGAAATGATTGGGGAATGCACAGCAGTTTGGGCTTTTAGAAACTGAGATTTATAACTTTGCATAACAGAAAAAGCCTATTGAAAATATTCAAACTCCATAGAAGTTATAGAAATATTTGGAAGTATTAGGCATTTCTCTCACTGCATTGTATTCTCATTTCAGCTGCTTGAAATGATTTGGTGGAGACTTCTTCTCCTCTATTACTTCTTGTCACTTATATATTTTGGCTTTCCAAATTTTGACATTTTGAGTTTCCCTGATTTCTCCTTTCCTGTTTCTTAGACCATAAAACTCTACTGTTTCTCATTATCCATACTGATTATGCCAAAGACTTATCCAGTTTAACAGCCAATATTTACCTGTTATTGTCACTCAGCAGTTGACGATAAAAGACTTGGCTGTCTCTGAGGAGAAGGCTTATAGCTGTTGAAGCAAGCCACCACTGAAGACTTACCATGCATTCGTTTGCTTGATCTGCTTTTAAAACCTAATCTGCTTTTACGTTAGGAGCTCTTACCACCATATGTGATAGCAAATTCCATCGTTTAATTATGCAAAATATATGTCCTTTTGCCTGTCTTGAATTTCCCAATATTCACCTTTATTGTAGGGCCTCAAGACTCTAATATATAAAAGAATAAGAAAAAAACTTATCTGTTTTCTCCATACAGTTCATAATTTTATGAACATGTACTTCTGCTGACTAATCTTTTTTTCCCTAAATTTAAAAAGGCTCAGTTGTTGTAACCTTATCTTGCAGGAGAGTTGATCCAACTCCCTATCAGTTCTTCACTTTTTTCAATTCTACAATATACTTTCTGAGATACAGCAGCTGTTCCACAGAGTATTTCTAGTATGTCTGCAGCCTTCTTATAGAAATGGATAACTGCAAAAGTGTTAATGATACTGACAGTTTATTTTTTATCCTTTTCCTTATCTTTTTGTGTTTTTCACAGTTGATTACACCAGGTTGACATTTTCATTAAATTTACCTACCATGGGCCCAAGATCTGTAGCTCAGACCCTGTCAGAGGATGGATAGAGTTATTTTTTTTCCCCCATGAACATCATTTTGTGTTTATATTAAACATCATTTTGTGTTTATGTTAAACATCATTTGTCATGTTGTTGCTATTTATCCAGCTTGGAGAAAGCCCTTCTGGAGAACTTTGCAATCTGTTTATTTTTACTGCTTTGCATAATTTGGTGTGATCAGCAAACATGGCCAACCTACTACTCACACCTAGCTTTAGATTAAGGGTGGCCAACCCATGTTTCTAACCATGTTGCTGAACTACAGTTTTCCATGTGTTTCACCATTAGATATTCTAGAAGTTGTAGCTCAGCAACATCTGAAGGGGAACAGGCTCTCTACTTGCTCCACTTGTTAAAAACCCTGATTTCATACAAATTCATGATTCTGCTTCCTGCTCTTTAATTTCATGTAATTTATTTACCTATAGGCCTTTGTTAAGAAATAAAGCTCAGTGTACAATGTTGCCTAGATCTACGTTCAAGTTTTATTTGTAGATGACAAGGTAACTAGCAGTAGTGACGTCCTCACTGAAACAGCCACAAATAACAAGAGTATTTTGTCTGGGTTTATATCCATACTCATAAAATCTATCTGTTCTGCAATAGTAACCATACCTGTTTCCATACAGTGGTTGTCATAATACCTAGCTACTTCCCATAATTCCTGGCCAGAAAGATAAATGTATAGAAAGACTATAGTAGCTGAATGTTTCGACTATAAACGACAGCATTTTACTTGATTACCATTGTTTTGTAATGTTTCAAGAAGAATTGCTCCTAAAGATTGGAAACATGAGGGCATAATGGGGCAAAGGCACAGCACAGTCTAGTTGTTTTTTTTTTTTGGACAAAATCACCAACAGCCAATGGGAAGAGATTTGGCATTTCATAATATGAAAATGCTGGCGTCAGGATGCCCTCTGCATTCAAGGTTTTCTTCTTGAAGGTTGTTCCTTTTCTTTAGTTTCCCAAATTGCTGCTGCTCAGCTGGAGCTGCTGTGCCTTCAAAACACATTACTTTGTTATGCTGTTACCCAAAGAAAAATAAAGAGAAGGGAAGAGAGACCATAAGAATCCATTATACCATGTTCTCTGATATTAAATGGTTTTGTAAAGTATTTTTCCATCCTCTGGGGTGTATAGCTTGCTGTTTGACAAGGGGGAAGGTCTGAGATTGGTATTCAGGGACATCAATTCACCTCCAGCTGCCTTTGTATTATCAGGAAAGGGTTTGCTATTTGTTGAACAGCCTTTCCACACAGCAGGTCAAAGGCAGTTTTTAGAAAGGCATGGAAGGGGCCCACTGCCAGAAACAACGTTGGATAAATATTCAGTGTTGGGCATTTGTATACTTACATAAGCTACTTAGGCTACAGTGTTCAAAAATCAATTTCTGAAACTGCTTCACAAAGTTTGCCTTTATTTCAAAATAATAACATTATTCATGCATTGTGTAAAGTCTGTGGAATCACATATACAATGCAGAAATAGTTATGGTTCTCTGCTTTATCTGTGCCTACCTATCATAGCCAGACTGGTATCTGCACATTGAATGGCAATGTGTCTCTTTAATGCGTGTTGATAATCTACAGCAATGTTTCTCAGCCTGGTGCCCTCCAGATTTTTTTTTTCCCCATACACATCCATTTTTGTCTGGCATAGTTTTTGTCTGGCAAGTTACAGATTATGGCCAATGAACAGAGATGAGGTCATTCTAAGCATAGGTTCAGTCTTGCTGCTTACTATAGCCAGGTTTGCAGATCGTTCTAAGCCATGGTTTGTTTTCACTATGGTGTGCTGAGTAAGTCACAGACTCTCTTGGATTAGTGCAATGTGTGAGCTCAGACTGCTTTACAACCTTGAAGTTCTCTTGGTTACCATCTTCTATATCAGCCTTTGCCAACTTGCTGCTCCCTGTATCTGTTGGACCACAAATTCCATAACTCCCAGCAACTTGGTTCATGACTACACTAATTGGAAATTAAATGATTTCTTGAGATAATTGGATAGATAATAATTGGATAAATACTAATTGGAAATTACAAGAATTGCAATTCAACATGTGGAATGCACCAGATTGGGGAGGGTTGTTTTTGTAAATTGCGTGTGGATATTTTTGTATATGCACAGACACAAGTGAAGAGAAACTAATTCCAAGAATTCATGAAAAAAATGTAGGTGGAGACCATTACCTTGCTGAACTAATTGGTTTCTCTGATGCAAATTACAATTCCATTGCTACTAGCAAATCAAATGGTATGATAGCAGTAGTCTGTAGATATTCTAAAAATCGAGACAGCTTGCTGTTGCATGGTTTCCGTGTATTTACTCTAAATATTTTCCCTCTTTTCTTCTTGCAGACTTTTAATCATATTAGTCCATTTCAGTGTCTCTTTTGAGCTTCACTGGCTCAGCCACCACCTTCAGCTATGTACCATCTGCTGCTAGTCTCCGTCCTCCCTGAATTATATGCACAGTGGGAGAGATGAGGGCAGGCAGTCTGCTAGTTTTCAACCACTGGATTGGGCATATGTGGGATTTCACAGAGTACTTTTCTGATTAAGGCTTGGGGGTACTCCGTAAATATCCCAGGAAAATGAGAATCTCAATTTCAAAGGCTTCTGACCACATGGCATGCTCAGCTTGCAAAAGTGGAAGGATGTTCTGAAAAGCAAAAATCTCAGAAGTTAAATAACTGGCCAGGCACTCAGATACAACCTTGTGTTTATGTATCTATTTTTTTTACATCCTCTGGACCTTTGACATTAACTGTCTGCATGTGGTGAACCCATCGTTACTGTCTTCTATTTTATAATATTACAGTTACACATACCAATATCTTCACTGCTATGCATGTGTGTATAAGTGTAGATATTGAGGTATATAAATATGTAGAGCCAGTGTAGTGTAGTGGTTAAGATGCTGGACTAGGAGAAGAGAAAACTAGGTTATACTCGTTATATTCCTCCCTTAGGCACAGAAACTGGCTTGCTGACTTTCGGCCAATCACTCTGTCCCAGAGAGCGGGAGACCTAGACCAGAAGGTTGCAAAGCATCTATCTCTGCCACTGAAGGAAATTTCAGTGAAGAGTCCTTCATCCTGCAGTGAATTGATTTTGGCTGATAATTAAAATTAGATATATAATGTGTGAGATGCGGGTTGCTTTTTTACAAGACACTGCAATGAGAGAAATTGCAAAAGGCCCCTGCAAGGAAGCCTGAGGTTTTGGATGTATGAGAAGGACATATATGAGTGAAAAAAGCTGTCCGTATGCAGAGTGTCTGGCTTAAGAATTTTGTTATGGGTTGAAGGACTGATATGTGATTCCATACCCTGAACATTTACTGTGTTCTATTTGTGGTGGTTTCTTTTTCTTTTCCAAAACTATTTTGTGGAAAGTTTGTTTGTATTTGTCAGTACAAATTCTTTCTTTGTTAATCTCTTTCAACAGATCTATGATGAGAAGAAGAATTTATTTGAAGTAAGAGACAACATCCCTGAGAAAATTGTGGAAAAAGTGGCAGGGGACATTGAGAGTCTCCTGGCCAAGAAAGTCCATGCTTTAAAGGTAAAGTGGCTCCTTGGTTTTAGTGTATCTGAGGGAACAGGCAGTAGGCCGGAATGGAATTGGTATGGTACTGATATCTGTATCCTGTAATCCCTAGGGTCTGCTGATTGATACTTTATCACAATGTTTCACAGCATGTTTCTAAGAAATGGGTAATGTTATACAAAGTCCTTGCATAGTTGTTCTTTCAAGTATTTTCTTCTTTGCATCTCCATCATATACAAGTCTACAATTAATGATTGATTGAAATGTGTCCATTAGCCCTTTCTTCTCAGACCAGTCTAAACTCCCTGAGGCTCTAGCCTACTTTGGGCTCTTCAGATGAGTGGCCTTTTCGGTTCCTTTGGGAGGATATTTTGCAAAATATGAGCATATAATGGGGGAATGAAGCAGAGAATAACAGGAGTTGTCTGCAGTTAAATCTGGGCTTTCAAGTACATTTTCAACCTAACTTTTCATTTTATATCATTTCCTTCCTTGTTATACGGTGCAAGAGCAGATCAGCATGTTTAAGCTGTAATATTAGGTGGATCTGACTTTTCTTGTGACAATGTTCAATATCTACATTTTCTGTTTGATTGTTTCTGCTTAGAAATCACATTGAGGACTTTCAGTTAGCAAATGGCTTCTATATGTCTGTGTTTTACATAGCTTAATTGCCTCAAAGTTATCAGATATTATTAAATTGTTTGTTATTATGACTTGTTTGTGATTTCCCAGAAACCTTGTGCCCAAAGTAGTTCATAGTGCTTAAAAAAAAAAAAAAAGAATAGCAATATTCTTAGAATTACATATCAAATAGAATTACATATCAAAGTATCAGCTTTTTTAATAAGTATTTAAGTATAAGTAAACCCACATTTATTTCAATAGCACATCAACTTTTCAATCCATAAAACCAAAACTCCTAAGTCACAGCAGAACAGTGCATGGTAGTGACAGTTCCAGAGTATAGATTAAAATCAGTCAGATCCTTCAGTAAGAAAAGCAAAAACAATACAATAAAATGCATAAAGATTAAAGTACAGTTATGCAAACATGCAATCAGTTTCAGTCATCTTGGCAATTGGAGTTTTCAAAGCTCAGCAGTAGTTCAGGTCACATCACTCCCTCCTCTCTTTTAACTAGGTCAGTCTTTCCACATGCTACCTTCTTTCCCAAATATTTTAAAGAGACAATCTTACACAAACTTCCTTTGAGAATAAGGCCTGTAAAACTCACTGGGACTCAGTTTCTCAGTAAACATGCATGGGGCCATACCTTAACAGTCTTAACATCATCTGTGTTCAAGGTGAGTTGCTGAATCAACATGAAGGGTGGAGAAAGATTATGTGCTGCCATCTGATCCTGCCCTATCCCAGAGCTAGGAGTAAAATGTGATGCCCCAAATCTTGCAACCCCCATACCATACACCCAGAATGGATGTGCCCCTCACTACTGTCCATCTTTAGTGCACAACATTCTAAGGCCCTTGATTGGTGGTTCTCTCAGCTGAAATTCCAGCTCTGCTGAACGTCATTCCATACGAGAAGACTCCAGCATGCAAAACACACTGGTTACTCCATGCACTTTAATGTTTTTCTTTTTTTCCCCCACTGTACCATTTTTTAATATTCTTGAATCTATGGATTGACTAACTGTTTAACTTAATGACTACTAGGTGGCAGCAGAAGGTTAGAGCTTTGTGTCTCATGGGTGCCATCTAGTGGTCATCCAGATTTGTGCAACTGAGATGCTACTGAGGAACTAGAGTTTGAGAAAGAGGGTCAACTGCGAGGATTAGTGTGGGAATTGTAAACTACTCTAAGAAAATGTGAGAGGAAGGAAGCAAGGAGCCTGTGCTTCCTTGGTAGCAGCAGCTCCTGGGAAGGGAATTCCTAATTACACAGGCTACAGCAGTGCATGAGCCACGTTTTTTCAATTACATTTCACCTACATGTGTTAAGTCATGCATGGGATGGACATTGTCAAGGTTTTACACCCTCTAGATCCAACAGCTGATCCACACATTTATAAAAGAAAGAAAAGGGAGCTGCAAAGTTCCAGATACCCTTGTGGCCAAGAGAAGACTGAGGAATAGCTAAGGGAATCAGGGTCCAGACTGCAGAGACTGAATCCACAAGAAACCAGTTGGAGTGACAAGATTGCTGGTATGGAACATGTTGTTTCAGGCATATTAATATGTTCTCCCTGATGCATATTAATATGTTCTACATTGCCTGCACACAGTGCCTTGTGCCAGGATATTAGGGAAAATACCACTATCAGAGCATATTGTAGCACCTTAAGGTGTCCCTGGACCAACTCAACTTATAGGTGGAGGCATGCAGACTTGGGAAACAGTTAATGGGCTGTCCTCATGCCAGGACAAGAAGAACGTGTTGATTTGCCTCATATCAGTGGATTTGTCTCAAATTTTACTCACTTAATTTTTTCTTTATAGCCACATGTTACTTCATAAGGATATTTCAAAGAAAGGCAGTGTCCGTCATGTTACTATTAATTCTAACCAAACTTTTACTCATATTTATGTAGTTTGCAAAATAGGCTTGACATTGTACAATACTAGAGCCAATACCATCCCATACAGCAGCAGTACATAAAGAGCATGATCCTCCAGCATGTGTTTTGCAGCATCTACCCTATGGTCAAAAAGTTTAGTGCCCCTCCTCCCACTTTCCTTGGATTTTTTGAAACAAAGCTTAAGGGACTAAGCCCTTTTCACTTCTTAGTCCCTCCCCAAATGGATCCTGGTCCCACCACTTTTGCAGTGCAGCCCTTGGCATGCCTCACAAGGCTTAGCACATGCCTTGAACTCTACTTACAGTGCGGCAAAAAAGTATTTAGTCAGCCACCAATTGTGCAAGTTCTCCCACTTAAAAAGATGAGAGAGGCCTGTAATTTTCATCATAGGTATACCTCAACTATGAGAGACAAAATGAGAAAAAAGTGCACAGCACTTGAAATAAATACAGCAGGCAAACCAGATAGCAACACCTGAACACCGGAAAACACGTAACTACTTCTTTAAGAGGCTCCTCTGTCCTCCACTCATTACCTGTAGTAATGGCACCTGTTTGACCTTGTTATCAGTATAAAAGACACCTGTCCACAACCTCAAACAGTCACACTCCAAACTCGTAACTACTTCTTTAAGAGGCTCCTCTGTCCTCCACTCATTACCTGTAGTAATGGCACCTGTTTGACCTTGTTATCAGTATAAAAGACACCTGTCCACAACCTCAAACAGTCACACTCCAAACTCGTAACTACTTCTTTAAGAGGCTCCTCTGTCCTCCACTCATTACCTGTAGTAATGGCACCTGTTTGACCTTGTTATCAGTATAAAAGACACCTGTCCACAACCTCAAACAGTCACACTCCAAACTCGTAACTACTTCTTTAAGAGGCTCCTCTGTCCTCCACTCATTACCTGTAGTAATGGCACCTGTTTGACCTTGTTATCAGTATAAAAGACACCTGTCCACAACCTCAAACAGTCACACTCCAAACTCGTAACTACTTCTTTAAGAGGCTCCTCTGTCCTCCACTCATTACCTGTAGTAATGGCACCTGTTTGACCTTGTTATCAGTATAAAAGACACCTGTCCACAACCTCAAACAGTCACACTCCAAACTCTTTTTTCTCATTTTGTCTCTCATAGTTGAGGTATACCTATGATGAAAATTACAGGCCTCTCTCATCTTTTTAAGTGGGAGAACATGCACAATTGCTGGCTGACTAAATACTTTTTTGCCCCACTGTATCCCCATCCCATCATGAATGTGACCGCCTTGTGTGTTTTCTGTTCTGTGTTGAAAGTAGTGTTTTCCAGTGTTCAGGTGTTGCTATCTGGTTTGCCTGCTGTATTTATTTCAAGTGCTGTGCACTGATTTGGTAGTGTGCAGAAGCAGGAACACCCCCTTATCTGGGTCAGCGGTCACCACTCTATAGCACTCTAATCTTGGCTGCAGCTACTATTACCGTGGTGTTCCAGTAGCATAGTGGTTACAACCCCTGCTTGTTATATAGAGGGTTCAAAACCCAGCAGCACTGCCTACTTATTTGTTGATTTTTAAATTTTTTAATAAGTCAATTGGTACACCATTTCATCTGTTTTTTCCAGTTACTTGAGGAAGAAAGATTTCACTCCAGCACTCAAATAGGGCAGATGAATAAGTACTGCAGTTACACTTTACTGCCTCAAGGGCCTGGGAAAAAATGAAATGCTGCAGCAGTTTTCTTCTTATTTTTTAAAGAAAGTATTGTAGTAAAGTGGGTATCTCAGAGAAAGAAAATTAAATTAAAAAAAAAGTTCTGCTGGGTTTCAAACAAGTGATGTTCTGCACATCAAGCGAATATTACAGCCACTGTCCTACTGAAAGATTCCTCTGTGCATATGTGTGAGGGTTATAATTCAACTGTGTATGTGTATATTTTGATATGTGAATATCCATATAGAAGTATATATATCCAGTAAGACTTGCCTACAGAAACGGAAGTGATTGGCACTTGGTTTCCTTACAAGGAAAATTGGAAAGGTATAGTAACTGGGGAATTGCCCAGTTGGGGGCATGCTAGCAGGCAGTCTAGATGGAACATCTGGCAAACTGCTGCCAAAGCCCCCAATCCAGACAGACTTTTCTTAAAGCAGTTTAGAGTCCAGCTGGCACCAGCATGGGACAAGACCATCTTAAGGGTGCAGTGCTGTTACACTGTAAGTTATGGTGCTTTCTGTTAACGCTCGATTCTGCTATATTCGAAGTCCTTCTGTTTCACTACACAAGCAGACTGTCCAATATAATTGACTTGTATTTTTTTTATATATAATTTTATATATCTCCCCAAGTAAGATGTATTTAGAGTAGGACCTCAAATTTATTTTTTTCTTCTTGTAGTTGAGTTGTCCATGGTCTTTTCCTTTTATTCACGACTTGTAAGTTGTGATTTCTTTTTCAGCCATCCATCCATCTAATGAGTTGATGGAAATGAGTGATAT